TATATTGGATTATTTATTTAGATTTATTTTCATTTTTAATTTTTTATTACACATTCATTGAGTATTGCACTGATTCTTTCTTTATCCAATATTTTGGTTGATAGTCATGAACGCTATCAACTGGAATGATTTTGTTAGCTTCATTTTTATGCTTATTAAAATGCTTTCATATCGCTCACGGTAACTGTTGTAAGTTTTAATGGTAACCAGCCAATGACCAATCACGAGCGTATGTATCCAAATACGTGTGTTAATATATGTTTAAAATAATGTGTGAAAAATGATACATATATAAAGAAATTGAATAAGTTTATGTTGTATTATATAATTATCACAAACGCATTAAGGAATAAACAAAAATCAAACCGTGGCATTGTCAAATGTATTAACAGTATAGTATGACTGCCGTGATTTTAAAATTAAACATCAGAAAGAAACATTTTTTAGTATGTTCGCTCCGGTCATGATGTCATTATTTAGAAAAATCATGAAAGATTCTTGTACGAAAAAAACCAAAAGTAATTAAGTTCTGAATAAGTCAATATTTTTTGGAAAAGTAAAAATGAATAATTACATAAAAAAATAGATTATAATTTCGTGTGAATCGTAACAAAGATAAAGGCCAATATTAAATATGTAAAAGTTAGCTTTGGCTGGTAACCAATGTGAGCGATTATATCATTTTTTGTTACATTGACTGCTCTCTTATGGTTTTTGCCAATGATGGTTTTGTCTGTTTTATTTATTAGAAGTGCACGTGCATGTTGTATTGCCAGAATTTACAGCACGTGAATGTGAGCACACCTTCGTTTGATGGTAAGTATTAACTTACAACTGCACTACCTTATACGGATATATATTTTTCTATTATAGAAATTATAACAAATTTCCTTTGATATTTCACAACAAGAAAAAATAATTTTCTCCAGAAAAAGGGATTTTTTTTTTATCTATTATAGAAATTTTAACAAATTTCCTTTGATATTTCACAATAACAAGAACTAACTTCCTCCACGAAAAGGAAGTTTTTTTTCTATTATAGAAATTCTAACAAATTTCCTTTGCTATTTCATAACAAGAAGAAATAACTTTCTCCAGGAAAAGGGAGTTTTTTTCTATTATAGAAATTTTAACAAATTTCCTTTGATATTTCACAAGAAGAAATAACCTGTCTTCATAAAAAGGGAGGTTTTTTTCTATTATAGAAATTTTAACAAATTTCCTTTGATATTTAACAAAAAGAAGACAACGTTTTCCAAGAATAGGGAGGACGCTCTGATCAAGCTGTAAGCTGCTGTAAATATACTGTAATCTTATTTCGTACACATTAAACTGAAACCAATCTTCATGTGCTGATTCGTCAGGATATTTTTTGTCGGGGTGGGTATAGATAGTAATTGTCATATTTGAATCTTTGATTGAATATTGCCGTATATCGCAACATATTATATTCCTAGAAATTCATTGCATTTGAAATAGTGGTGCAAAATAAATGAAAGGAGCATCAGTTCAGTAATTTTCAAAGATAAATTGAAAATTGTTTTAGATAACATCGGAACTTATCACTCCAAGCAGGCTTAATGTTTACAACATTAATTTAATTCCAGCAATATTTTTGTGAAATAATTTTCTTACTGTTTACCACCAAACAATTTAGGTGAAAATTATTGCATTTTATGGCGGTATCTATTGATAAATAATAGTTGCAATATTATTGGTCATCGGGGTGCATATACTTAAAACCTACGTCTAACGGAACAATACATATCATGCTTAATTACAGTACAAGATTAATTTGCCAAACATTCCATCCCTATGATTAATAACTAACCTATATTAATTCATGCCTCTCGATGCCCCTTTTGTAGACATTACGCTTATACACAAAACTGCCGTAAAAGTAGCTCACTCTCTTACTTGAAATCTCTGTTGTGAAATATCAAAAGGAAAATAACCTTTCTTGGTTATGAATTAAAATATATGTTTTGGAATTGAATATTTGATGTTGTTATATGTTGATTTTATACATTTTACGATATATTATTGGAAATTATTATCTTAGATAATAAGTTGATATGTGCATGGTTGTTCGTTCTGGTAGTATACTAACTCAGTGTACAGTGGAACTTCGTTTAGCAGGTGCACCGGTTACACCTATACACATGCACATGTTAAGTGCTAAGAATATCCGTATTAACCATTTCACCACTGTAGACCATAATGTACTCATCCATATCGATATGCATGGTCACAAGAGTCTACTGAAGTTACATAGGGGTGAAAGGGTTAAGGCAATGGATAAATCAAATGAAGGCCATGATTGGTAAATCTTAGAAAATCTGTTATTTCTGTATTCATTGAAAACCATGAGTGCATTGAACAAGGAGGTTCTACTGTAGGTAATTTAATTAGTCCAAAAATTACAAACTTTGATACTTTTTGTGCATGTTTTTCTTATATAAGATAACACGTGCAGTATTAGCAACTAATATGTAGACATTATAATATACCGTTTGTCATATTTTCAGTGTGTTTCAAATTTTTCTAACTTGTTGATGCGTTATTTTTTATTTTGTGAAATTCAATGACTTCCTAATAATTTAAGGAAATTATTTTTGGATCAGAAATGATTTCCAAATGAAGCGAGGTTTGAATTTGATAAGGAGAAAACTGAAAATATTATGGCACCTAGTTTGATATTCTAACATAAAACTAATGGAACGGTCGGATTTCCTGCCATTTTTCTTTCGTTTTTAACACGATTTAGCTTATACAATAAAGTATTCTATATGGAATTCCATGCTAAAAGTTTTACGTGATACTGAACTTAGTGTTCTACCGTACGTTAACATGGAATAAACTTCGCAAATTTAATTGATTACGATATACATTTGGTAGTTAATATCGGAATTGATGAGACGGGTAAGATTCGAGACACGCAGATTAGTATATCCATGTCTTTTACACCGATTAGCTTTTCAAGTATACGTTAAAGTTGTAGCTAGACTTTGTTAATGTATCAAATTCGTATTCAATGAATATGTGTTATTTTGTGTTATCTTGCTTTGTGAAGGTGTGGAATGACTGTTCAATCTTTAACAGTTTAGATGATGTGTATTTATGACGTGTTGAAGCCGACAATGTTAAGAACTGTCAACAAGCTTTCCCAAGAGATTATTTCTTATGCCTAGACGAATTGTGAACAGAATACCAAGCAGTTGAGATGCTTTGAAAACCTGCACACAAATAGTTTTAATAGAAATACGCTTGTAGGAAATAAGGTAAAAATAAACCTTAACTGTACAGAACACAACGCGGTTTAGGTGCTTTTACACCCCGTAGACAAATTGTTGTAATGGAAATACGCTGGTAGGAAATAATATAAAACAAACACATAAATTGTTGTGTTTTGGTGTTTTTAAAACCCGCACAAAAATAATTGTAAAAGGGCAAGTATGCTGAATGATAGGGGTTGTTTCGCTGTGGGAATTTTGTTACAGAGTTTGTGTCCGTCAGCGGGTTTATAACGCTCGCCAGTCAAATGTTCATCAGTGAACACCTATAGCTAGCTATCTCTGTATAGGAAAAACTTGATGGGAAAGTTTGTTGACTATTCTTAGCTTGCACTGTCAAGTTAAATATAATTGCTATATTATTACTGTAAATACTAAATACAAGACACGTATAAATGATTAGAATATATGTTTGTATTATATATCCGTTCTTATGACCCGTTGTATTGATGGTGCTGTACACAGACTAATTAACGTCCTGTCAAGCACTACTATGGACTAAGTAATGGCTAACAACAGATAAATACTCAAAGTTGGGTTTGTTAACACTTCAGTATTCTGTTCACACAAAATCTTTATCGATTAATTGACATGTTTGGATATAGTTGCAGGAATGTCAGTGTTTTTATCGAAGATTTGCTATGAAAAGTGACATTATTTGAGATTCATAGATCTTAAGTTCAAAAATTTGAAAAAAAACAATTTACTCGATCAGTCGCTCCAGTTCAAGTATTTAATTGAAAATTGAAAAACAAAATTACTCTACCAGTCGTTCAACCCAATTAAAAATGTTTCTTTACACCAACAAGTATTCTTTTGAACGGACAAGTCAAGGTAAATGTAAAATTCATATTTTGAAAAACAGAGAGAAATGACCACACTCATAACAAAATGAACTATTGTTGACTATAACGGTTGTTAATATTCATGTAACACTTTGTAAGATAAATTAATAATCAATGTTTTGTATTTCACAGTGACGTATGGGTTATGTATGTTTGTAGGTCATCAATCATATTCCGTGGTTTGTAGAATTTTGTGTCACCGTATCAAGAATAATGTGTAGTGTAATTTACCTTGATAGCCCGTACATATATATTATATCAGCATATACATCCCACCTTCACAGAATGGATTAAACATACCTGAATGTCCATTGATATAAATGAATCAGAAATTAATTTAAGACGTTCATGAAAATGTAAATGATGTATTGCAATGTAAAAATGTGGACATGTACCAAAGTTGTAATGGTTAACCCAACCATTGGTCACAGTCATTTAAAAATAAAAATATACGAGCAGACAATCTTAATGCAAATATTTAATAATTCCGCCATCTGTTTCTGCTCTTGAAAATGAAATAATTTATTTCCCGTTTTCTTTATACAAAGTATTTATAAAGATATTACATTCAGGTGGTTTGTTGTCCATTTATACTGTAAATAATGTGATTAATATGTATTGCATATTATGGTCATGTGATTTTATCAATTGGGTCATAAATATATGTAATATATGTATGATTGTTCCGTAACATTGATGTTAATATATCATGCACATCGTTTTGATATGAATTATGTATACACGTCTGTGTTATTCAATCTGACCGATATATATTCAATGTTTCAATAATTTTTAACACAATGAAAATATGAAAACAGTCTACAGGAACACCGACCCTTAACTTGTACCCTTACTTATGCAGATGACCTCGGACTTCCCATTGGAATCATAATCCTCATCGTGATCGTCGTCTTCGTCGTCCTCTTTGTTGTCGTCGACGTGACTTGCTACTTCCGGAACAAGTGTGGCGTCATCATGTGCCTGAAGGAACGTGTAGGACATGCGGGGTCAGCGGACACGCGCAGTAAGGAACCTATTATGGAATCGGGAGAAAGGTAAGATAATCCTATATGTGTGTTTTGTTATTCAAGATGAACAGTATTGCACCCTAACTAAATGTCTGTAAAATCATCTCTTTGTTATTTTTGCCATCCTTTTCCTAAACAAATACAAACCATTTACACAAATATTATAATCATTACGCTAAAAGTATTATTAACATTCAAATTTCAGGCCCCCATATTTTCAAATAACGCATCATACAATAGATAAATAATTTCATGTGGTTGTATGTATGTTCTATAGATATATTTAATTCTATCTAACCTATCTAGGATATAGATGTACATTGTGATCAGTTGCCATCGAAAACACGCCACACGATTAAACGACCCTAGTGCAGCGTCATCAACCATAGTCAAATCACAGTCTGAAGAAGAAATCAGGACTATCTGACGTTTCATTTCATTTCGTATCTTTCTACATCTGACCCACAGTCTTCTATAAACATAACCTGTGTACGGATAGCCTAATCCTGTTTTTCTGTTCTCATGGTTTTATGCAGTTTTACAGCAATCTCGCTGTTAACTTGTAATAATGCAACTGTTTCTTGTTAAAATTCCAATCCAGTCATTCCTTCAATCGATTCTTGACAGTCTGAAGATAAAACATATAAATTAATTATTGACAATCGCTCTTTGTTTTCACTCATCTTACCAGCTTCTATGTAAAGTCACCACAAGTTTATGCCATCAAAACTCTTGTCGTTTACCCAATTTAAATTTGCGGTTGTTTCTGACCAATCAGCTGTCGTGTTGTTTCTGTTGTCATAGTGAGAAAGGTACTCTGCCTATAGGAGGTGTACAGAACAAAGACGGCCATCTTGTGGAGGAGTAAGATTGACCTTTGACCTCGCATGTTAAATCTTCACTGGCATGTGCATCGCCTGCCTGTCATGAACACTGACATTTAATTTCCTTTATTTGACTCTTTTGCTATCAAGAATACCAGTATATTTGAATACTTTAATGTCTATTTGAAACATTAATTTTTGCATAACAAGGTGTGTCGAATGGAAACATTGCTTTACTTATACACATAGGAAGTAAGTAGATAGGCCACATTCAAACATACGATAGACGGTATATCTCTATTGAAGTTTCTTACAAACCTCCACATTCAAACATACGATAGGCGGTATATCTCTATTGAAGTTTCTTACAAACCTCTTTTTATTGTTGAAAGAAAATGTTCATTTTTGGTGCGATGTTTCATGACAAGTAAAACACAAAAATAATTACCACAGCATCATCAGCACAGAACTATCATAATATGAATACAAAATTATTTAAATAGACAACATGTAACCAGAAGACGTCAAAACAAAAGTTAGGCATCACGAACAATCACAATAAAAGGACACTATGTGGTCTGGAGTGGTATGTAATGTAGCACATTGGGTGCCCGTCCTGTTTCCCACCACATCCTAATGTTGGTCTGTCACGAATTAGTCCAAGCTGATAGGTCTCCTATCAGGGCAGACACAAATATAGCTTCACTGTTAGTCAGGTCATATCAACATACTGTATACAATAGATTATTGATATATTTAAATTGATAATGATTTATTTTAAAATCGTTTCTGAATGACAATCAAGGGTTTGGCCATCCTCGACATCCAGGGGGTTACGCTCACTTTCGCTCTCTACACCCCTGGAATCATCCTCAATATCCAGGGGTTACGCTCACGTACGCTCTCTGCACCCCTGGAATAGCAAAATTGAAGGCACGAAGATAGCTGTTTGATTGGTGCCAGGTAAAAAAAAGACCAATCGCTAGGCTGATGCCTGCATGTCCTTTGAAGATTACAAAGGAAAGACGCCCGGCCTGTCAACTTTTACCATTACGTGCCCGCGATATTCTTGTGATGTATATCAAAGGATCTCGTCTTCTTGTCTCATCAACCAGATGGCGCACAATGAGCCTTCAAGTTTGCTATGACATATTCCAGGGGTGTAGAGAGCAAAAGTGAGAGTAACCCCTGGATATTGGGGATGATTCCAGGGGTGTATAGAGCAAATGTGAGCGCAACCCCTGGATATCGAGGATGGGGTTTGGCTGGCTTACATTTCGTTATTGATCCAAGTTCAGTTCCTTTTCATTACTTTTCATCCATTGAGTTTTGTCTTTTTTCAAATAACTGCTAATTTTACCCATGCTAACGACAAGATGATATTGTAATGTGCCTTCGTGAGTTTGTTATTGGCAATTTGTTTCATAATGCCATTTACTGAAAATGAATATATACGTGTGATTTAGTCTTTTATAACTTCACAAAATAAACCCTGTATCATTAGGACAAAATACACCCTGTACCATTAGGACAAAATAAACCCTGTATCATTAGGACAAAATAAACCCTGTATCATTAGTACAAAATAAACCCTGTATCATTAGGACATTGATCAAATTTGCAAATGTTCTGGTAAAAGATACAATAAAGTTGAAATATAATTTCGTTTCTAAGGAAGTGCCGAAATTTTAGTTTGTCCTTGCTTAGTAGTGAGTATGGGTCTCGCTGGGTATAAAAAGCGCACTAAAACATAAATAACAAATTTGTTTAAGCTTGCACTATCCGCTTTAAGATACATTTCATTATAAATTACATTTTTGCAGAATACAGATTAATTGTTCCTGATGTAAATACTTGCAATAACACTGCAGGGTTTGTTTAACACCGTTATTTCTACACCTCTATTAATCAGGATTTTTCAATGAAAAATACTTAATAGCCTTATCTACAGGCTGCAATTCTTAAAGGTACAAAATATTGAGATAGGAGTATCATGACGGGGGAAAGAACAAAAAGCAAAAAATCGGTTGATTCATCCTTTGTTTGATGTTGGGAAGAATACTTCAAATTAACTCATTCACCCCTGAAGAAACATTTGAGCTCTTCCAATTCAAAGGTTGGAATAGTTCATTAAGACATTACAGGGGTGAATGAGTTAAAAACGCTCCGAGTAAAGCTTAAGTGAACGTGATTATAACTGAGGCAATGGTATCCGTTACTTTACGACTGCTAGAACCTTTATATAATTTAACTCGTGTACACCTGAAATTTCATAATGAACTATTCCAACCTTTGAATTGGAAGAGTTCAAATGTGTCTTCAGGGGTGAATGAATTAAAATTTGCTAATATATCTTAATGAACCTCTATTTGTTTGATAGATTTCCCAATACACTGTAAACCTTTTCATAATTATGCTTTGATTTGTGAAATAACATGTTGCAACTAATCAAACGCTCACCTAGCTGTAATTTGGAATCTATTATTTGTCACTGCACAGTGACTATTAATGACATGTAATGATATATTTCTTGTACAGGATTTCATACCCACCAGACTCGATACATAACAGTTGTTATAATGAAAAGTGTTTTTGATTGTAACGACACTAGAGTTCATAATTAAACAAGCTTTGAAGATATGAAATAAATCAATGTTTATTTAATTTCGCAATGTTTATCCAGTTCATTTTTGAAACAGCTTGAATTATTAGCACATAACCTTTTATTTATTAAGATATGCACACGTTTAATGATAGTCTCAATTAATTCTAATGTACATAACATTCATCTTACCTGTATTGTATTACCGATCTGGAAAGCATGTATCTTGAGAATTTTCAGTACTTTGATGTATTACATATGGATCTTTAATCTATAAATAATTCATGCGATTGACATAAATTAATTCGGCATAAAAATAAAGACCTTTTTTCATGCTATTTGAATTGGAAGATCTGTATCAAAATTGTACGAATTTTCGATAACTCAGTGATAGAAAGGTATGCTTGAACGCAATTTGTGATTCAAACACGACCTCTGATGTAAGTGCAGCTATAATTTGGGTGTCCAACAAAAGTGTCCGGTTTGTTCTACACTAGAGGTACTTAGGAAATTTGTATATCAAAAACAGGAGTTTACCCCAAAACCACTGGCTTTATATAGAGATTTGACCGTTCCCCAATGAGTGATGGTCGGTTATCATGTTCGTTAGGCAACTTGAAACTTGCATTAAGACGCGAAGTGTTACTTAGTGTTATTTACAAGTTGAAAATTAACGAATCGGGGCACGAAAAACACACTAACCGTCCATCAAGACTTAAGGAGCTTTTGCCTCCAAAATGTTTTTTTTTAAGAAACTATATTTACTTTGAAAAATGTTTTCGTTTTTCTGACCGGGAAAAACAATAGCGCAATGAATGAAGACATGACAATGGAAGATGAAAGCGAAAAATATTGTCACATAATTACGTCATAATTAAAAGACAGGCCAATGTAATCACGTAGAGGGTGTAAACCACTAGTGGGTTACCAGAAATGTTTACTTACGTCTAGCCCGTTTACCAACTGAGTCCTATGAGAAATATACGTACAAAGGAGTTATGGGATAATTAGTAGCTGGATATCCGAGGCTCCACACTGTATTTTTATAACATTTCAATTTAAACAGGGTCATATCTGTTACTGTAGATATCCCATTGAGACAGCCATATTGCGTATTCAATTATATAAACAAACGTATATATATCTATAAATATAAGCATAGTATATTATATATGTTATCCGATAATGTAATAAATACGGCAAAGAAGAATACCATGATTGACGAGATATAGAAAAGACGTGCTGACCCGACTTACTAAGGAGGGATATTATATGGGGCATGCGATGGTACCTGGGGCATGCTTTGTTTCGTTTAATGAGTTTTATTCATTTGCGGCAATAATATAACACAGTAGGAATGTTGCATCTATTTGAATGCCACATATCAATATGCAAACGTGCATCATGTCTTTCAAACAGTGTATTCTGTCCCAATATACTTTCATTTCTCTCTCATGCTATCACTTCCGTCAATTTGAAAATGTACCATACATTCAAATCTTTCATTCTGATCTTTATAATGCTGGATGTAATGACGACGTAGACATCTGTCGATGTATTCATCCTATGGAAGGTACAGGAGGTTTTCTTGTTAATAAATGTAATGTATTGACGCTGTCTGTCGCTGTAATAAATAAAACTTAATGTACTCGTGAACTAAGACGGATATATTGTATAGAAAAGTTTATCACGATAATATGATTTCACACGCATCAATAAAATCTCATCTGCTTGAGTTAACACTTTCACCCCTAAGTAACTTGAGTAAACTCTTCCATGATTTGATCTGGATGAGTCCATTATGGTATACAGTGGTGAAAGGGTAAATAGAGTGAAGTTTGAAAATAGGTGACAGACACGGTAGTCTAGTGGTAGGACGCCGGGCTCGTGACCGAAGGGTTGCAGGTTTGAGTCAAGGCACGGCACTGTGTTGTATCTTTGAGCAAGATACTTTACTCCGCTAAGAAATAAATGTTCCAGTCTACTCAGCTGTGGATGATTACATGGTTGGGCAGTGCTAGCTGTTAGCAGGTATTGGCTGGTTGAAAAGGCCCTATAACCACGGATAATAATTTGTGAACCGCTTTGAGACGACCTACGAACTAGGTTGTGATGAAGCGGTATATAAGAACCTCAAATTATGTTTATAAATATTATTTATTAGAGAAAGCCAGGCAGTATTTCTCAACAAATGTATAAAAAAAAGATGAGGAAGACATATGATGGTAGGACATTACCTAAGTGAATGCTGCACGTATCTAACCATGTTTGACATAACAAACATTGCGTCCATCTCATACAGCGACGACACTTGTTGCACACAACATAATGCAATGACGTATACTGTATATTCATTGGGAAGAAGTTTTCACTATCATCTAGAACTATCGTGGTTTCAATGTTATTGACGTCTGTCGTATGTTTTCCTTTGCACAGTGAGAAGAAGGTGCCGCTGTTGGACTCAGATGGAGGAGCCAAGGATGAGGTAGAAGAGGAGAACGAAGTGTGAGTATGGCCAGTCTACACGGTATCTTAAGCCCGGCATAGATGAACCATAAAATCAATATATATAGCTATATAAATCATGTAATGATTTATCATTAATGACACCATCATGTAATATAGTCTATTTTTAATGACTTGTTATTTTGTGTGTACATTATTTTCACAAACTACGCATGTAGAGTTGATCAGATCGGCAAATTTTTGTTTTACTTTTATTTATGAAAATTAATCGTAATGCTTATCATCATTAACAACTTTTCTTTTCGGCCTTTTAAATATAAAAGTAATGTTATCACTATTGTTGAAAATCCGTTTTTGTTGAAAATAAAGTTTATATTTATTTATAACAATACTTCAATACTTTCGAAAAAAGTTCTATCAACTTAATCACTCTGTTCGGTCCGGTGGTAGTGCGAAAAAGGGTCTTAATTGGGAAGAAATGTGGGGTACCCGGTGGAAACCCAGGTGGTCTGGCAGTTGATCCCATCTATTTTAACCTCCGATCGGAAAATTTAACCCTGTCCGTCTTTGGGGGGAGCCAGTGCGTTCTCCCCTGCGCCACCAGGCACTGTTAAGAACTGTATATCAGGAATACGAGTCGTCAATCACGTGTATTATGTTTTTAAGTTAGAAGATAAAATGTGACACATGATGCTTTTAATCCACAGACCTGCTAAAGAGGCAGAGGAGATAGAACCAGAGGACAAACAAGAAGACGGAGCAGACAACAAACCGGTAAGTGATTAATCTTTTCTGTCAAAGTGCAACATTACGATTGTTGGAACAACTCTTTGAACTCATTAACATATGATTAAGTCTTATTCAAACATGTCACACACATAACCGATGCGGTGAAATTTACCTTTTGATAGGAAAATGCAGTAGGTCTTAGAAAGCCATTTTAAGAGCAGGCAATTTTTCAATACGAGTTTGTGACAAAATCCAAACCACAAGTTAAGGGTAATTCGACACCATAAGATTGTTATGAACGCATGCGCAGTGACATCACGCAGGTCTCAAAATCCTTGTTGAAGGACTGGGAAAACGGTGTTACTAGTTTTATTAGAGACAGCTATTTCCTCTTTCTTTGTGTCGAGATGAATTTCAAATTAACGTAGCGTATTACATTATGTTTCTTGTGTTTGTGTGCATGATAACCGAGGCAGAGAGCACTAATGTGAGATATCACTATGGTTTGTGATGTAACTGTAGGTGGCGGAGGGCACAGAAGCCAAGGACGATACCACCACGGCTCCAGAACCGGCAGGCGATCCAGTCCCGCCTCCTCAGGTCGCGACCACACCTTCTGCGTCTGACGGCCCAGCAGAGCTACCCGTGGCAACCGAACCTAGTGCCTAGTGAAGTCAGTGCCGATATGATGGAGTGGGCAGGATATATACAGTTAAGGGCGGACTAGATTGACAGTATAACTGCTGTGTGTGGGCGGAGTCTACACAGTGATATTTCTTATTTAGACAGATCATTGGTCGGACGGATATTGATAGACAGCTTTGATTCATTCCATACATATTATTGGATTGTGTAACAACAGAGGAGTTGAACGGGAAGGGATTAGTTCACGTTTTTACCTTTTTGAGGACCTATTTGAACCATCGCCTTGGCTAGTTAATACTGATCCCTGTTGCCCTATAAGGGCGCATTTATGTCCCTGTTTTGCTTGTGTGAAAGGGTGAGAGAGTTGGGAGCTGAGACGAAAGGTAATATCTGACAACACTTTCCTAGAGTCATTGGTAACCTTCACCAAACGTACAGGGATGAAGCATGGACGACAGACTTCCCGTATGTGCTAGGGCATGCCATGATTTTTTCAAAATGAAAAACAAATCTTGTTTAGACCACAGATGACTCTCAGAAACATGGTCATTGTACCACAAGCCAACTGATTACAAGTGTTTGAGTACACGATTCCAAAATATTAACTTGAGTTTACCCTGTGACGTAATGATTCAAAAAGATGTTAGTACTCAGGGAAAATGTGCAGCGTGCCAGACTGAAGGGTTCGTCTCAGCTCTATTTGATTATATATTTATTTGTATGATTGTATGTTTGTTCCTCGCCTTATATTTCTAGTTACGCCCAGGTCTCGCAGGGACCAGGAAAATCAGGGGCTCCAGCAGATTAAAGGGCGTACTTGGTTTGTTGACGCAGGCATACCTTGAACATTTGATGTTAAAATGCATACATCGCTGGCCGGCATCAACCGATCAAATTCGCTCTTAACAATTGTATATACATTACTCGGGACCAGAAATACCAGCAAAAAAATATGTAATCTTTTTAATATGCAAATGACATGTAGCTATTGTGGTGTGTCGTCATACACCTGATATACGTCAGAGCTCTTGTTTCTGTGGTCACGTGGTTTATTGAAAAAAACAGTTCTGCTCGACCGTTCCATGTAACAATGTTTTCCATGCATGTTCACTGCACTGTAAGTGTTCTCGCTAATTAAGATCTCATTATGTATGGATCTGATGAAATTCATGAATATTCATTTGATTAATTAATATTTAGAAAGCATAACCGGATACACCGTTTCACACCTAGTGTTTGAAACATATTTAAACAAACTGTTCACAGACTGTTAAATGTCTCAATTACAATGTATGTCATATTTTAGAAAATTGCAAATTAGAGTTTGTTAACCCTTTCACCATTTATATGGATGAGTCCATTATGGTCTACAGTGGTGAAAGGGTTAAATGAAGCATCTATCTTAAAACTGTTTGACCTTTCCTCCGTGCCCTAAATTGTCGTTAATCTTTGACCCCTGAATTTATTATAGCAGGTAATTAGCCTATTTCAATGCGGGTTGTGTTGATTTTTCTCTGTTACTGTGTACAGTAAAATTTTCCTAGACACTGTTAAGTTTTTTATCTGTGAGTTATTTGTTGAGGCAGCCAGATACCACAGACGATATTTTAGATTATTTTGTTTATTTTTATCTAAGATTGTTACCGAAAGTCGATTACCAAAAACCTGTTTCAAACTCAGCAGAATCTAGTTTATCATTGTTGTTCCCGTATTATGTTTCATGCCCTCTGTCATACCTCAGCTTACTTAACAACTGTGACGTTATTGTTACATATATGACGTCACTATGACAAACAGCTTGGTTATGTTATGCTTTTACGCTTCTGTGACGTCGTATTGTTGTGTCGTTCGAATTAAATCACTTCATATTATGACAATAGTAATAATGTAAGATATTTACGAGATGTAGTGAACTGATAAAACATATGAAATGTGATCGTGGGTGACCTTTCCTTTAACTTGTTGACCCATGAAGTTTCATAATGAACTATTCCAACCTTTGAATTGGAAGGGTCCAAATGTGTCTTCAGGGATGAATGAGTTAAATTGTATGCTTGAGTGACCTTCCTCAACACCTTAGATGTCTGCACTTGTAAGGCGCCCCACTCGCATTCCTATTACTACAACACAACCTGTTGATCAAGCACGTACAAGAGGACAGTGTCTTAACCCGGATCAGTGTTGACCTTTGATGAAATATACATACCAGCGGACAAAACAAATAAGGTCAAATAAGCATGTATTGATGTTGCCATGGTGATGTATTCTGTAAGTTATTTGTGACCGGTTTCTTGACACAGTGCAATTCAATATCGTTTATGATCTTTTGTTTTGACGTAACTAAAATTAATTGAACAGAAATTAAAGAATAGAGAAAATACTAACGCGAGAATAAGGGAGTAAACTGTGGTAGGAAAATGTGAAAATCGTGACAGAACTGTATGGCCGAGTATGCATATTATCTGACTGAAGTAATGAAAACAGAAAGGGTTGATACTTAATGATAAATACAATACAAATGAAGCCAGATAGTATTATTTTGTAGGAGACACAAATCAGTGTAAAATGTAAACGCAGGACGATGCTTGTAGAGTAAACATCGTCTATGTATCTGTATATCGCTGTACGAAGTGAGAGGAATTCCAACGCATGTGTGATGTGTCATCGTAGAATAACAGCTGGTAAATGAATTATGAAAAAGGCATGCATGTGTTTAACCCTTTCACCGCTATGTAACTTTAATGAACTATACCATACATTGATCTGGATGATTCCATTATGGTCTACAGTGTTGAAAGGGTTAAGGTAACAGATCTGTGCATTCCATTGGTAGAGGACATAGGTGGGTTGTCCAGTAGTTGACGTGCACGTGATTCAATGACGACAAAATTGTACATGTGATTCAGTGACGTCACGCTCATGTGTCAATGTAGGACGTTACGTATTTCGTTATAATATCATTGTCATATTAACCTTCATAACCGGAGAATAAATTATTCATTCATCAATAGTCAGATGTCCATTTGAGTGCCATATATGTGTAAAGTATTTTATTCTGGCTTCGACACACTATTTTTGCCATATATACGAAACACTGATATGAAATGGGGTCTTTATGAACGTGACCTTTACAATATCACTACTTCCAGTTTCTGTTCCCATTTCGTCAGCTGAATCTGTCAATTTCATAAATTTATAAATCTTTCCCTGCTTGCAGTCTTATTTACAGGGAAGTCTCCAGACCCGTTTATGTTTGTAAAATCCACAATCTGATATTTTAATTTAAATAAGTAACTCTTAAATATTTGTTTTTTCAAAAAGAACTCTATTTCGTGGATGTATTCAGTAACTTACGGTATAATGCAAGCAGTCGCTGATGATATTATTTGTTCCGTATATTTAACGGAACATCTACAATGTTTGCGGTACGTGAGAATTCAGCGAATAGTCTTTGAAATAATAGAAATTATACATTTGACTGCGGATATTTTGATGGATGGGTTCCTTTGGTAAAAACATAAAATACCACGACATAGTAAGTTCTACGGTCCGTTCACTCCTTGCTCATAACTGTTGATAATGTACAGTTTGACTCGCAATCGCTTACAGTGCCAACGTGTGATTGTTATTGTTAAAACATTTGTCTTTTTACACTTAGAAAGAATTCCGAGATACACCCACTGATCTATATGTTTAAACTTTGCTCCCCCCTCCCACCACCCCCATTACAGAAAACCAGCTATTTTTTTTATTTCCAATAACCAACATGACGAAAAAGTCAATGACTTGTCAGTTTCTACCACCCCTTTGGTTTGCCACTAAGATATGTGTGTTAGATACTGAAGAAAAAAAAATATAGTCAATTATAAATTATATTTAGAAGTTGCTAGCTCAATTCTTTAAGGGAACATAATTCTGTCGAAATCACAGGTATGCTTCATTTGGTAGAATATAACCTTATGATATTACAGTCAAAACCTAATTTTGGATTTGAAGCAGATTTGTTTTAGCTGCACTTTCCCTGAAGTCATTTAGAACTATCAGAGGGTTAATCAATACTGGTGTAGCTTGGCGTTTTCTTTTAGAAGAAATTATATGGATATTTATTGTGTCAATTTTGAACGAAACAACATGAATAATCCAGTTATGCCGGTTGGTGTGCAATTATTCCATGTTGTTTTTAAAATCATATTTGGGGTGTCTTAATACTCGTAACTCATTGTTTTATCAAGCAGATAGTTGTGTACAGACGATGTGATGTTGCTATTGGCTTCGTATGTATCAATGCTCGAAAAATACGTCTCATGTTTGAACTTGAAAGCAGTGTATACACGTCATTTAATTATTATTATTATTATTATTATAACATATATATATTGATGACCTCTTTTCACTATGTATCATATACCTATATATTACACTCTCTTTGTACATATTGAGACATTATATATGTAACTAGCTTTCTGTTCAGTGAGCGTTTGTTTGTGTATGTAATTGAAATTTACACCATTAGTTCAGTATCGTTGACGTCAAAAACAAAAAGTCATGATCCAAGGACTTGAAAATGACATGAAGTTATGGAGATTTTATTTTTAAAATTTAAAAAAAAAATTCAAACTCTTTTACTTGTTTCAGTCATTTTAAGATAAATTATAGATATCAATACCTCAATTTTCAGTTCTAACTTGTTACTTTCTACGACTCAGACTTTTAAATACACTTTTTTAAGAATTCTGGCATTGGCTGAATTTTTTATTTTTCTTACTAAATTTGGTCGAAATATCTGTGTTGAATTATCATTTGTCTTGGCATAGAATCCATGAACAGAATTTTTGATGAAATATTTTACCAAAATTATACCTTGCTTATTTGTGTGATAAAGCCCATGAAGCTAACCAGTGTTCAAAAAACAGATATATTGTTGTGTTTTATCATTCAGCAACTTGTTTTTTTTACAGGCTATGTTACATCAGAAATCCATCTTTCCAACATATAATTGTAATGTGGGTGTAAACATCTGTAGAATTACAGAAATTTGAATTAAAAAAAAAAAAAAGTTCGTTTCACATTTTTGGGTCATTTTGTAGTAGGAGTAAACAATCATATAAAAATATCATTCGGAAATCCTCGGCCGGCGTGTTCTTAGCACAATAACCTCGGATGTGATCGGATGTCTGCCTTTGCATATCACGTGATAGACAAAATATAGTTCCGAGAATGCGTTAGCGAACGCAATATTGACGCATGTCGGAGATTTTCTGATGAATGTAATTTTTTTATGGATATAAAAAATTAAAAAAGTACTTAGCGTAGAGCCATTACAGTTAAACACAGGCGGAACTTATGTGGTGAAATGAGTAAATACTATTTCCGGCGAATATCATGTATTGATTTGGTACAATATTCCTACATCGATCACAACCGAGGTAAGGATGGAGTGTACAGGAGACCCCCGAGGTTTGCCGATTGATAAGTATATACATAAAAGTTGTCCGTCATGTTTATATTTTTCCTAAATATATTCATAGATTCATCGGTATTCCATTTACAAAATATCATTATTATATTTCATCATATCGTTCTCTGCTTAGGCATAGCAAATAAAGTGCATTTTATAAAATTAAAGATTTCATCCATGTTGTAAAACAATTGATGGTTTTGTCTGGGATGTGTTACAAAACCGTGTTTCGTTTTATTCTTCATTATAAAAAGTTTTCAGTAATAATATGAGATATTTTGAACGTGTCGTCCGTGAAATTAAGATGGTGAATTGACCTCCAGTATTCTACTCCACAGTATTTAAATATAGAACAAAATTTAGGGCAAGGTTATTTCGTGATTATTTCTTCAAAAGAAATCCTTTGATATTAACAGTTAGAGTTGATAATTTCGCCACATGATAACCGGTGGTACGTCAACCACCTCAGGAGTGTATAGGTATACTATTTTTGATTGTGCGTTGTTCTGTGAAATATCTGTTTCGTAAGGCCATGTGTTAGTCAAGCTTATTTTTGGATGTTTATTGTAATAAAATTTGAAAAAATAAATCGTGATTTCGTTTATTGCATTTTTATTCCTTACCAAGCAAGCCTACTTACCCAACGAAATGGCCTTTAAAAGTGTACTAACAATGTATTTTAACTTTATAATGTATGCAATATCCTTGATTGCAAAAATGATATCTTGAATTGTAAAACGGTTCATAATATACATGTTTTACTAATTATTACTTTTGTGATAAAAACCAGTTCTATACAGTGTATTTTGAAATTCGTATAAGTATGGGATTATTTGCTCCTTCCCTTATGACTCAACAGTAGTTAGACTGATTTGCAATTCCACGTTATTGGTGGAAATCACCGATGAGTGCAAGAAGTACAAAACAGTTGTCTGGTGCAGAGTTTTAGCAATCATGACCTATTACCAAATATTGTAGGTATAATTCGACGTTTGTGTCCTGCGTCCACACAAAACATTCAAAACCAAATTTCACGAAATTAATAGTATCTAGACAAATGTTGGTCGATATCAACCTAATTTTTGAGACTATTTATAGGTCAATATCAACCTAATTTTTGAGACTATTTATAGGTCAATATCAACCTAATCTTTGAGACTATTTATAGGTCAATATCAACCTAATTTTTGAGACTATTTATAGGTTAATATCAACCTAATCTTTGAGACTATTTATAGGTCAATATCAACCTAATTTTTGAGACTATTTATAGGTCAATATCAACCTAATTTTTGAGACTATTTATAGGTCAATATCAACCTAATTTTTGAGACTATTCATAGGTCAATATCAACCTAATTTTTGAGACTATTCATAGGTCAATATCAACCTAATTTTTGAGACTATTCATAGGTCAATATCAACCTAATTTTTGAGACTATTCATAGGTCAATATCAACCTAATTTTTGAGACTATTCATAGGTCAATATCAACCTAATTTTTGAGACTATTCATAGGTCAATATCAACCTAATTTTTGAGACTATTCATAGGTCAATATCAACCTAATTTTTGAGACTATTCATAGGTCAATATCAACCTAATTTTTGAGACTATTCATAGGTCAATATCAACCTAATTTTTGAGACTATTCATAGGTCAATATCAACCTAATTTTTGAGACTATTCATAGGTCAATATCAACCTAATTTTTGAGACTATTCATAGGTCAATATCAACCTAATTTTTGAGACTATTCATAGGTCAATATCAACCTAATTTTTGAGACTATTCATAGGTCAATATCAACCTAATTTTTGAGACTATTCATAGGTCAATATCAACCTAATTTTTGAGACTATTCATAGGTCAATATCAACCTAATTTCCCCAAATATAACGTACGTAAGATTGACCAGCAATGCAGTGCGTGCAATGGACGCTCAATGAGTGACAACATTGATTCTGATTTGGTTAACTGGTTTCCGCGCAATGACTGCCCTTAACCCTTTCACCCCTATGTAACTTTAGTAGACTCTACCATGCATTGAACTGGAGGAGTCCATTTTGGTCTACAGTGTTGAAAGGGTTAAAATGGTTCACCTTTAACCAAACTCGCTTTGAAAAAAAACCAACAGTAAAACCACGTTATAATGCCACTATGTATCCTGATAAAATGGCGTCTGAAAGAGTTTTGGCGATAACATGAGAGAAACGTAGAAAGAAGTTCTTAATAAAAAGAGAAAAGGGGACCTTGAAATACGTTTGCAGTAAGTGAAGTGGAAAATGAAACGAGGGGAATTATATAGAGTGTTTTTACTATACATAACGTCAATCCCAGTACTCATTTTGATCGCTAATGTAATGTGTTAATATCTACACATAAATTTAACGAAATAACTTTATTCTGATTGATTTATATGGTTCTATACAATAACAGCCATTACATTTATTGAAATCCAACCAGAGTTAGTACACATCAATATTGACCAGATTTGATATGCAAGTCCTACATTCAATATATTTAAAATAAGTCCTACATTCATTATATTTAAAATAAGTCCAAATAAACAACTGACTGCTATGTTATTGTCCTGTAAGTGGTGGACATACATTCTCTGAATGTGTTCATGTGTTAGATGTTTAAATAACTGTTCTCCGTCTACACCTCATACAATAATTGTTCAACTGGACAAGTATAAACGGGCGCTCCATACATATGAACCATAATGTGAGCTACAAGAGCGTTTCGTAAAACGGACAATGTATGGGAAAAATAGGAAAGTCTTCAGCTTTTCATTAAGCAGCCGGTGTATCGGAAAAATCCGAAATCCTACTATAAAAATTATATATGAATTTTAAGATGTTGATAGATTATATGAAAATCTACGCGAAGCTATGCTTGAGCATGCTAAATTGAATTTACTCTCATAAATATATCGGTTCCATCACTCACAACAGACCTACCATTCTGAAATCGAAAAAGAAGACCAAACAGAAGTTGGCGTTGCATGATCTCTATATCTAAACAACACTTACCAACCTGCATGATAAACGGTGGTGACGACAGATCCTTATCTGCCTTTAAACTCCATTATTCTCTGTTTGCAGACAGAACGAACAGTGATTAATGAACCAATTTTTATTCTACATATATGTATATAGATTCCAAAATTTAGAAAGACGAATTACTAGCATTCTACTCCATAACAGTATTGCAAAGGGTACGGACACACTTCTACTGCTCGCCATCTCTATTAGCTGATCAATGAAGTCATTATACAATCATTGCAAGTATCATTGAATCAGGGTCAGTTGGAATGTGATTTTTGAAGAACTCGAAAGTGTTTTAGTCAAAATTTAGCATTCGTTTCTCAAAACTTGTTCTTCTATCAGATCATTTCACATTCCACTCTGTCCACTACGATGCGTCATCTATCTGAAGGCATGCCATCGTTCATTACATTTTCTCTCTCCAAAATATGCGATCGGCAATTTACAGATATATCATTTTTTGAAGAGAGAAAAACGGGAAAAAGGCAAGATGAAATAGACTGCGGATGAAATTCTTTGTTGGTAACACCTTGTTGAGTTTGGTTGCAAGATTATTTCAGCAGATTGTAAGCGTTCTAATGAAAACAAACAATGCCTCGCTCCTATTTTCGATTAATATCCGATCAGCACCCAATACAGATTGGACCCAAAAACCAAAACCTCTTTGAGAAGAAGAGCCTCGCATTGACATCGAAGAATACCTTAACGTGAACCCGGTATTAAAAGAACACTTCGTGGAAGTCTTAATAGTGGTTCCTTAATGCAGGTTGTCACGAATTGCAGGTCACCATTAAATCACTACCATGGGAAACGTTAAAAATGACCTCTTAAAGCAGGTGGTAAAACATGTTGAATGCTTTATTAAAATGACAAGAATTATTTACCCCAGTTTAACTGAAGGTAGCAAACATGAACACAAGCCGAAAGCTTTGTGCATCTTAAGCAATAAGAGTGAATATATTCTGTACATTCAAACGTTGAAAACTAAAGGTTATTTACATATATCGCCTAACACGTTAGCAAACGGTCAAACCTATATTAATATTTTGAAAGGGAGAGAAGGGTTCAAGCTGCCCTGGCTATCAACCTGCACTAGGTAAGGTATGGTAACATTTCAAAGGGTTCTTATATTACAAGTAAAACAACTTGTACATTTTTTTATTGGATTATTTATTAATTATTGTGCATATAAGAGAAATCCAGAAAATGTTGAGAAGGCATTAACAAGAACTTCACCCTGATCGTGGTAGCGGTCATGTACTTGGACCCAAATTTTATCGTTCACCTGCAGCTCAACAAGAGCCATGTTGGACCCAGAACCATACTGTTCTTTGTCTCCAGAATAGATGTCTAGGATACCGTGACCATTCCGAATAAGCTCGACTTCGACCATTCCGTTCCTCTCGACGACGATAGTTACAGAAAATACATATAACCCTGCCACTTGACAGGTGAATAT